CATGTTCATTTTTTAAATTGCTATTATCACTGTCAAAAAAAAAAAAACAAAAAACAAATAAAGGCATACCATAAACTGATTCCAAGTTATAGTATGTTTTGAAAGGAACGTGGAAGTTGGAAGGAGCCCTATGACATGGCTGTGGCATAAGCCCTTCCACCTCCCCTGTGTGACCTCCCCTGTGTGATATTCATGACTTGTGCTCTTAGTTCATTTCTACCGCATCCCATAGTGCCCTGTTCCTGGTTCTGTTCCAAGTGCCCCTAGCAGTGTCCCCTAGTAATGTGCCTCATTTGAGGCTATATGTGCCTCTGCGCTGGGAACAAACCTTTAAGTTCACCTTTCAGAACCTGACAGATTGGAGCTACCATCCTCAAGTACTTGCTTTATAACATTGTCAGCACTACTGGGCAGTTCTTTAGAAAGGTGGACGTGTTCTTGGCTACACATTTCTTACCCTCTAGAAGATTGTTGTTTTAAAACTCTATATCTGAAATCCAATCTGGAAATTCTGCTTCAGTGGGTCTGGGATGGGGCCCAGGAATTTGTATTTTTAACAAGTATCTCAGGTGATCGTTATCAGGAAGGTCTGGAAAACACTGCATAATCTACACTCAACTTGCCTGTCCTCCTTCCTGCCTCATGCACGTAGACCTGCTAAGTATTTGCTGGAGGTGCACACACTCTTTCTAACGTAGGCTTCCATTTGACAGAGTTTGAATATAATATGGCAATTTTGAATCCTCATAATCTTTTAAAGATAGAGTTTTACCAGATCAGTCATTCTATATTGACACCTTTAATTAATTGCTTGTTCCTGCATGAACTTCTCATTGTGGAACTAAGATATCTACTTTTTTTAAAAAAATCTGGAATTTAGTTCGAATTTCTCATTGTGAAACAACTATGATGTCTACTTTAAAAAAATTCTGGGGGCCGGGCGCGGTGGCTCACGCCCGTAATCCCAGCACTTTGGGAGGCCGAGGCAGGTGGATCACGAGGTCAAGAGATCGAGATCATCCTGGTCAACATGGTGAAACCCCGTCTCTACTAAAAATACAAAAAATTAGCTGGGCATGGTGGCGCGTGCCTGTAATCCCAGCTACTCAGGAGGCTGGGGCAGGAGAATTGCCTGAACCCAGGAGGCGGAGGTTGCAGTGAGCCGAGATTGCGCATTGCACTCCAGCCTGGGTAACAAGAGCGAAACTCCGTCTCAAAAAAAAAAAAAAAAAAAATTCTGGAATTTAGTTCATCAGAAAAACCTGATTCTTAGCAACTACTTAGAGTAGCAATTAAAGTTCTTGATTTTTAAATTTGTTTATTTTAATTAAAAAGTTTTAGGGAACAGAGAAATGAGGAATTCTTTAGTGGGTAAGTTATTCATGGGTAAGAATTTCAATTTTGCAAGATGAGAAGAATTCCAGACATTGGTTGTACAACATTGTGAATATATTTAACAGTGCTAAAGTGTATAAAATGCCTAACATGGTATATTTTATATTATGTATATTATGCATATTTTAGCACAATTTTTAAAAATCTGGGGGGAAGTGTCCACAGATTCGTTGTCTAGGTAAGTATCAGATAGTGAATATGAGTACCTACTACGTAACCAGGCACTGTGCTAACATCTTTTTGACTTTTTCAATAGATTAGGTTATTTAGCTCTTACAACAATGCTGTCTGTATTTCACAAACTGGGGGAAAAACGGTCACTTGACTCACAGGCCAACTGCTGTGGACTGAACTGTGTCTTCCCCTTATTGATATGTTGAAACCCTATCCTCCAATGTGATGGTATTTGCAGATGGGGCTTTCAGGAAGTCATGAAGTTTACTGTGAGAAATAAATTCCTGTTGTTTAAGCTAGTATTAATATGCGGCGTTTTGTTATGGCAGCCCAAGTTGACTAAGACACCAACTTAACTTACTTGGCCAGGGTCAATCGGTGGTAGGGCCCAGGATTCGGACTTAGTTCTGCCTAACTCCATAATTCATGCTTTTCTGGATATAAACATCTGCCTGCCAGGTTTCCCTGACTCTTAGTGCTTTGGAGCAGTGTGTGTCATGTGCTGCACACCCAGGCTGGAACAGACTGTCTCTGTATAGTGTGTGACTCCATGGGGACCTCTATGTAGCCCCAATCTTGTGAGGTGATAAGAGTTATATTGGTAAGCCTGGCAAATGTAATGCCTACCTCTAACAATTCTTCAGGTATGTGGGACTCTCTAAAGGGATTCATTTGCAGAGACAGAAACCTTGGTGTGTAATGCATTACTGCACAGTTTGTACAGTCTGCCAAACCCCTCAGCCATACAGTTTCGATAACTGATGCTCCCCACAGCTTGCTGGGATTTGCTCTTGTGCAGGTGACAGCTCCAGATACTGGGCATCCTTGATGAAGCCTTAGCTGGCAGTGGCTGACGTGATGTCTGCCATGTCCGGTCAGGACCTTCCTCTCCATTGCCATGGCTGTGTCTCACTGCTGAGCCTCTCCTCTGTTCCCTGCAGGCTAGAGTTGGTATGCTTTCACTGACATATTGGAGTTTTTCTACTAAGTGCAGAAATGTCTCTAGAACTAAGCACAGTCACGTCAAGCTTAGATTTGAATGTTCTGGTTTCATTAACTTCAATTTCAAGTACTCCAGGGGCTGCTCTCCCTCACTGGTTTCTTTTCACATGTGTGCAATGGCTAGAACTTCTTTCTGCTCTTGCTGCAATATGCCAGCCACATTTCCGTTTACACAGGGATCTCCTTTTGTCTCCTTTCTCGCATACTGCAGCAGCAAAAGGGGCAATCTGTGGTTTTCCCTCCCTAACCACTCCTGCAATGAGAACAACTTTCAGGCTGGGGGCTTCCTGAAGAATAGATTGCACAAGACAGAAGGAATTCCCATGACTGTGTTGCACCCTAAAACATGACCTTCAGTTTCTATCTACTTAGGATCTATATCCTGTGCCACAATTTTTCTACCATGACTTTGTCTTATAGAAATCACTTTACCTCTCTGGGTTCCAATTACTCATTTATTAAATGAAGGTCCCATTCAATGGTTGTGCTAATTTTCCTATTTCCAAGTTCTTCAGCACTGAGAGTGCCTGTCCTTATGGTGGAGGTCTGGTGATAGAGAACAGGTTCTCTCTGCATTGTTGACATAGGCCCTCCCTTGACCTCTCCTGTGGGGACCTAGAACACTGGCATCCCCAGCTTCTCCTCAGGGCCAAAGATGACTTGAGCCTTCCCAATGGAGGTAGAGGCTGGAGCTTCCTTTCAGAAAGTGGCTCAGAGTGACATACTCGAAGATCAGGAGGGTCTTGTATTTTCATCACATTGACTAGAATTATAGGAGCTCTAATTATACAGGCTGCCCCAATGTCCTGATGTCAGTCCTCATTAAGTCCTGACTTCTAAAATGAGGTTAAAATTCTGTCATAAGAGCCAGGCGCAGTTGCTCAGGCCTGCAATCCCAGCACTTTGGGAGGCCAAGATGGGTGGATTACTTGAGGTCAGGAATTTGAGATCAGCCTGGCCAGCAGGGTGAAACCCCATCCCTACTAAAAATACAAAAATTAGCTGGGCATGGTGGCAGGTGCCTGTAGTCCTAGCTACTGGGGAGGTGGAGGCAGGAGAATTGGTTGAACCTGGGAAACAGAGATTGCAGTGAGCTGAGATCACACCATTGCACTCCAGTCTGAGCAAAGAAGTGAGACTTCATCTCTCTCTGTCTCTCTCTGTCTCTCTCTGTCTCTCTCTCTCTCTCTCTCTCCCCCCTCTCTCTCTCTCTCTCCATATATATATAATAGGCTTGGCATGGTGACTGTCACCATGCCCATAATTCCAGCACTTTGGGAGGCCAAGGTAGGAGAATCACTTCAGACCAAGAGTTTGAGACTGATCTGGGCAACATAGTGGACCCCACCTCTAAAAACAAAAATTAGCTAGGCATGATGGTGCATGCCTGAAGTCCCAGCTACTTGGGGGGCTGAGGTGGGAGGATTGCTTGAGCTCAGGAGTTTGAGGTTATAGTGAGCTATGATCACACCACTGCACTCCAGCCTAAGTGACAGAGTGAGACCCTGTCTCTAAATAAAATAAAACAAAATAATAAATAAATCAATTGTATCATAAAAACCTAAACTTGCCCTCACATAACTCTCTCTTCTGCTGACAATCAATACTTTCTTAGACAGCTTTCTCTTTGGTTCCAGCTGGCGTTTGAGGAGCAATTTTTTTTTCTCCAAAGAGTTTTAAGAAATGCTTTCTCAGCAAATTGAGAACAAGAAAGTAAAGCAAATGTTCTAAGTGACTCCTTCCCAAATGCTAGTTTAAGAGTCTTTGCAAATCAGATGGAAGCTTTAGCAAAATGTCAGCAGATAAAATCCTGTAGGATGAGTCTAAATCAGTCAAAGCCAACAGTCCTAAACACTTGCCTGGATGAGGGGGGTGCCTTTGCTATAGGTCCCATGGATCCCCAGGAGACTCAGGAGGGAGTCAGTTCTCAGTTATGGAATGTTAGAGACCACTCAGCCTTTATTTTATTATTATTATTAGTAGTATTGAGACGGGGTCTCCCTCTGTCCCCCAGATTGGAGTTCAGTGGCCTGATCTCAGCTCACTGCAACCTCCACCTTCCAGGCTCAAGCTATCCTCCTTTGTCTGCCTCCAGAGTAGCTAGGACCACAGGTACACACCACAACACCTGGCTAATTTTTTGTATTTTTGGTTAAGACAGGGTTTCCCCATGTTACCCAGGCTGGTCTCGAACTCTTGAGCTCAAGTGATCGACCGCCTTGGTCTCCCAAAGGGCTGGGATTACAGGCTTGAGCTGCCATGCCAGCTGCCAGCCTTTATATAACGTGACTGCCTGTAATGGAAAAGCATGAAATTTTAAAAATCTAATTTCATTTTCCATTAATGTATGTATTAATTTATTCTTTATTCTGTATTATGTATTAATTTATTCTTTATTCTGTATTTATTCTGATTATGAATTTCATTCATTGGTTCATGTCCTTGTTATTTACTTTAAAAAATTATCTTTGAGTGCCTGTCTACCAAGTGTCAGGCCCTGGCCGAGGATTTATCTTTAGGACTTTGAAGATGGCAGGTTGGCCCTCTGATCACATAGAACTTGCATTTGAAAGGTAATAAACTGATAAATGAACTGAATAATGATAGTTTATGGTAAATGCCACGAAGCAAAAGAATAACATGATATTGGGAGGTGGATGTGGGTAGATCACCTGAGGTCAAGAGTTCAAGACCAGCCTGGCCAACACAGTGAAACCCTGTCTCTACTAAACATACAAAAAAATTAGCTGGGCATGGTGGCAGGTGCCTGTAGCCCCAGCTACTTGGGAGGCTGAGGCACGAGAATTGCTTGAATCGGGGAAGCAGAGGTTGCGGTGAGCTGATAGCGTCATTGCACTCCAGCTCGGATGACATGAACAAAACAACGTATTAGAAAAAAAAAATGACATGATATTACATTAATGGTCAAGCTAGGAATTGCTGAAATAATATGCCTAACCCTTTAGTTTTCCTGTTTTCTATTTTCTTTATCCTTGTACCTCTAGATCAATCCTTTCCTAACTCAAGTTTAACTACCTTATTACCAGAAAACAACCATACAAATGTCTGAGAGCTGCTTTTGTCATTGAAAATATACAAGCTTCCTTACTAACCTATTTTAGTTAGTGTATTCCTTGCATTTTGGGATTCTTCAAAGTAGGTAATTTTTTTTTTGAAAAATCACAAAATCCTCATTTTTATTTAAACTTTTGAGATATGTATAAATTATGGTTTGAGACAATTAAAAAGGAGTGCATTTGACATTGCTCCATTCAAATCTAAAATATTAATTCTCCGAAATACAATGTATTGCTAGAGGAGATGAAAAATGAAATCGACCAGTATCTAAGGTGTGGTCTATCTGAGAACTTCCTGATCTCACCATGGCAAAAGAACATCTTATTCCACTGCCCCCAGCCCTTCTGTTCTTTGTTCTGGCCTGGCTTTCCAGAACTCCTAGTTCTGATTAGGGCTTTTCTACTGATTGGTGGACACTGAGCAGTTTACCTTCTGTGTCTTCTTATCTCTAATTTGCTTTATTTGTATGACTGTTGCCTGGTTTAGATGAGCAAAACATTTAAAAATGCTATTTATATGCATTTCTGATATTTTTCTGTACCTTCAAATATAAGTAAAAATTGCTTGTACATGTTAGCACTGTCTTTCATTTTTGTTTTTACTGCAAAATAATTCAAACGTAACGAGATTTGTATGAATTAAATTCAACAATAAAGCTCCCCACCAAAAGGCTGTGCCAAAGCAATAAATTCTAACTAGTGTTTAATACAACCAGTCTGGTGTTGAGGAAACTGTGTGGCTCTTTTCAAGCAGAAGAAAGACAGGAGATGTTCTCTATATTAATGAGCAGTTCTACTTTAATTCTGTTGGGAGTGATGCTGACGGCATATGAGGCTGTGCTGTACTGGGTTGCAACATCTGTCACTGGCATACATAGCTGTTAATCTTTCATTTCAGATTCAGACCTATCAGTATTCATTAAAGACCCTCCATTTGTGCAAGTCCTTCTGGGAAAGAGTGCCCTATCTCGGTGTCTCAGATTTAACAACAACAACAAAACGGTTCCATTTTAAACACATTTTTCATCAGGCAGCAGGCAGCCTCTGGCTGTGGGAGGTGGGAACTAGTTGTATGTGCACATGACCAAACAACTTTTCTACCGGGGAAGTTTAGCATTGGTAAGAGAAGGGGTTCCAAATTAAAGTTTAAATCCACCCATTTGCATTCTGCTTCCTTACCTACAAGAAAATTTAGAAGTGGGTGCAAATGGCATTTCCATGAGTACTTCTTGCATCTTTGCATATTTAACCTGGGAGGAAGCACAAAGGCTAAGCCTGGGCGTCTGGATCCTCGAGAGTGCATCACTTAGCCTACTTGGGAGTCCAGGCACATGTACAGTGTCTAAAGGTCTAAACAGAAAGATGGGATGTCCTGCCCCAGCAAAAATCTAATGATTTTCTCTCTCTGTAGCAGACAACGGATACAGCAGGGATGACTTCCACCAGCACCATTTCGCAGCTCTGGGGTATATTAAAAATGTAAGAAATGCACAGTGTCACCTGTCACTGCTTATTTCACATTTAAAAAACATTAATATTCTGAATATGACCTGTAGAGTAATTGCCATATTTTATCATACCCATAGTCTCTCAATGATTCAGAAAGGAATGAGTTTATACTGAATTTTTCTCATGTAGGCAAGGATATTAGAATAGGTCTCTCAGATTCACTGCAAATTAAGCACACAGCCAAACAACTCATATGAAGAAAAAAAAGCATCAAATATCAGGTCTAATTTAAAGCTATTTTCATTTAGATGGAATGGAGTGACCAGGTCTTCTGTTTCCAAAGAAAGGGAACCATAACGAATAAACTTCTTAAACCTCTAACTTCCAGGAGAAATGTAGCCTTGCAGGAAAATGCCAACAGTGTAGCAAGATGCCTGGGGAGCGTGTCCATCCACTCTTGGCTCCTGGGCGCCTTTGTTTAGCATGCCCTCCTTCCTGGCTTTGAAGGCTACATGAAGATGAGCACCTGACCAGGAACCTGACTTGGTTTTATTCTTTACCTAGTCTCCTCTCAAACACCCCGAATCTGCCTATCAGACTATAGACTTTAGGTCGGCAGAAATTTTCCAAGTGGGGGTGACTGGAAGTCACATCCTGTACCCCACTCCCTACCGCTCTCTGAATCTTCTACTAGTGGGCTGAATCTAAGATCACAAGTGTGTTTTTGGTCAGCCTGTTTTTTGGGCTGAGTGCTGTGGCTCATGTCTGTAATCCCAGCACTTGGGGAGGCTGAAGGGGATGGATCACCTGAGGTCAGGAGTTCAAGATCAGCCTGGCAACATGGTAAAACTTCGTCTCTACTAAAAATACAAAAAGTAGTCACGCATGGTGGTGGGCACCTGTAACCTTGGCTACTCAGGAGGCTGAGGCAGGAGAATCACTTGAACCCAGAAGGCAGAGGTTGCAGTGAGCCAAGATCACGCCGCTGCACTCCAGCCTGGGTGACAGAGTGAGACCCTGTCTCAAAAACCAAACCAAAACCAAAACAAAGCAGAACCTATATTTTGAAGACACTGGATCTCTTCTGGGTTGGCTTGCAGCCGAAAGCTGATTGTGACTAGCAAGCCAGAATAAAAGATAGCAAGGAAAAAAGATGAGAATTGTGCTTGTCCCTTTTTCATATGCTTCCAACTTTCCTTCCCAGGTTCCACCAACACCAACGTTTCTGAGTGCCTTTAATTACCGTATGACTATGACTGCATCCATGGAGTGTATCGTGAAATTTAATCACCTAGTCTGAATCACCTAATCTCAGCTTCTGGGTGACTAAAGACACTGTTAGAAGTGTGCTGTAAAACACACAACTATCACGTTCAACTGAAATTACCAAGTTCAAAACCAGATGGACATATTGTCTACCCACAGAAAAGTAGTGCTTTGATTTTTTTTTTAACTTTTCGTTTTGAAATCATTTATAGCTTTAAAGAATATAAAAATATTACTGTATATCCTTTATTCTGACTTCCCAAATTTAAACATCTTACACAGTCACAATGATGTGAGTAAAATGAGTTCAAAGATCAACATCAGGAAATCAACTGATATGTCGCTATCATCTAATCTTTAGATATTCCAATTTTTTCAGTTGTCCCACTAATGTTTTTATTCTGGTCCAGTCCAGTCAAGGATCTCACATTGCATTTAATTGTCCTGTTCTCTTCCTTTCATCTGTAGTGGTTCTTTGGTCTTTCTTTTTCTTTCATGACCTTGACACTGTTGAAGAATACAGGCCTGCTCTGGTGTTCAATGTGCCTCACTTTGGGTTTGTCTGATAGGTCTTCCTAAGTAGATGAAGGTTGCACATTTTTCATGCATATATCAGGATGTTGATCTGTCCTAGTGAGATTTACTTTGATTAATTACTACAGTTATTTTTTCCCCTTTGCAAATAGTGCAGTATCTTATAAGGAGGTGCTTTGAAAATAAGTATCCTGGTCCTAATCAGACATTCACCCAACACTTTTAGCATCCTTTGAGGATTCTCACCTGAAACGATTATGACTGTGGTCTTTCCAGGTGGTGATTTTCTAATTCCATCTCTCCCCTGAAATCATACAGAAATGATCAGTCTCCCTTTCCCCCTATTTATTTACTTTAAAATTATCTATTTATGTCAGTTATGGGATCATGGATTCTTATTTTATTCTATGAGATATAACCCATTACTGTCACTATTTAGTTTCTTGTTCAAATTATCCCAGATTTGGCCATTGGGAGCCCCTTCAGATGGGTTTGTGTGTCCTGCGGCATGGCTCTATCATGTCTTGGGCACTTTCCTATTTTATGACATTATCAACATATCCCAGGCTCATCTTGTTCTTTCCTGGCTCCAGCCCTTCAATTAGCCTTTTCTTCAAGGAGTCCTGTGTCTTTCCTTGGAGAATGGTCTTTAGAATCTAAGATCTGGGGGCTGGTTCTTATTGCTGGTGCAGAGCCATTTCTTCTAGGTCCTCTCAGTGGGCAGAGCAAAGAAATATATGTATAATACACACACATTGAGACAGAGCAGGGATACCCTCTTAGAAGCCTGCTGCCCTCCCCACCCCTAAACATGGTAAAACAAGGAAAATCTTGAGTTCTTTCAAGGAAAATAAATACCAGGCACCTGGCTAGCCCTGAGAACTAAATAAGCAACCCAATAAGCAAGAAGGTAATTGTAGCTTAAAAACAATAGCCAAGGAAATTAGAGCCACAAAATGTTTGGTTTCCTGTAGAAACTAAAGACAACATCTTAACCCATGTCCTTGAGTTGTTTTTCAGAAACCTAGAGCCCAACCAAATGAATCTGCTGGCACATGGATCTCAGATAGGGGAAAACTGAGGACTGAACTCTGATCACCTTTCTTTGTTCTAAATCTCTTCCTGAAGGACCTGGAAGAAGTCAGGCCACAGGCCAGACCTTAACGTTCCTTTCTGCTGGCCCTGAGATTTTAGACAAAGCTTCACTTTCTTAACCGGTCACAAATCATAGAATTTTTGAATTCACCTATGACCTGCAAGCCCCTGCTTCAAGATATTCCACCGTTTTAGGCCAAACCAATGTATAACCTCCAAGTATAGAATAAATGATATCTAAATCTAAAAAAAAAAAAAAAAAAAACCTCCAAGTGTTAATGTACACTTTTGCCTTTAACTTCTGCTTTCCTGAGATTTGCCCCGGCCTTAAAACACCCTTGCTTGTAAGCCATCAGGGAGGCTGTATGTTAATCATGAGCTGCCCGATTATCCTTGCTTGGTGCCCTGAAAATAAACACCCACCCTTCTCCCACTGCAAAACCTCAGTGTGGATGTTTGGCTTTACTTCACCCCCAGGCAAGCAGACCCAGGCTTGGCTCAGTAACAACATCTGTTTCTATTTTTCTCTGTATAAATATTAAAAACCATAAGTACATGCTATCTCCAATTCCAATATAAACCCATAGGGCTCATTCTGGCCTTCCCATTTTCTTGTGTATTACTCTTTTCTACAACAATGAGAATCCGAGTACTCAGATATTTACCTACCTACTCAATCCTAGAATATAAATAAAATAATTTAACATAGTATCTTCTTAAGTTCCTGGACTAGTTACACAAAAGTGATGAATTACATATGAACTCTAAAATGTCATTTTAAAAATCTTTACTTTTCCTTCTTATATTATCACCCTTAGTAGCTCCCTACAGTAATGTAAATTTTTATCCACTTATACTTACAAAGACATTTCAAGGCTGTCTTATTTCAACCCAGGCTTCCTCATTTATTAGAGGCTCTTTATAGGGGAAGAGCTAAGATTAGAATCGAAATAGAACATCTTTTCTTTCCCTACTTTTACTTAGAATATCCAAAGCAGAACCAAAGAGACTGTTATTTAATCCAACTATTTTCTTTCAATATAGTTAGCTTATCTTTTTATGTAGTTTGATCTGCATATTAACAGAGTAAAAGACACCAACAGAGCTCCCAACATGCAAGCATAGACGTTTGTCCAATTCCTGAAGAAATTAAGACATGAAAAAGACAAAGGGTTTCTGGAGATTTGTTGAGATTACTCTGGTCAAGAACACTGTCCCCATTTAAAGAAAAGACAGCTGGATGAATGCAGCTTTCTTAGTATTTCTCTGTAACTCAATACCCTAACATTGTTGGTTTGGGCCCTTCAAGACAGGTTATCGGACAACATCATTGTCATCCTGTGTACCAACAGAGCAGCTGAGATGAACTGAAATGTTGCTGACATAGTTCTTGCTATGCGGAAAGGAGCCTACAGACTTGTACTCTGTGCCTCTGCCTCATTTAACCATAGGATCCCAATAATAGTTCTAAGTTGAGACAGTTAACATCCAGTGGCTTGCCGCAAGAATTTCACCAAGACCCTATGTTTATTCAGTGCAGAATTGCTTATCCTCTGCAGGACCAGCTCTAGATAAAATATGTATGAGTGAGAAAAATGGCTTATAGACTATATGAGCCCGCCACCTCATAGGCCCAAGATATCTGCACTATATTGCCAACAGTAAGTACAAGTAAAAGCCGTCATCAATGTGAATGGGTTGAAATTTCTGCCAAAACAAGACTCTTTCAAAGATTCTCATATAGTTTTAAAAGATGATTTAGCTGAATATGTAAGATTGCATTTTAAAAGAAAAAAGTCAAAGTAAGGTTTAAAATAAGGGATGGGAAAAAATAAGCCAAGAAAGTATTATTAAAAAACCCAGCAGGGTGGCAAGATTATTATACAAAATAAAATTAAAAACAAAGTGATCTAAATGAGACAGAATGATATTACAAATAATAAAAGGTAGAATCATATAAAACCTATAATAGTCATAAACATTATCCACTGACTAACATAGCGAAAATGTATATAAGGCAATAAAACTGTTAGAAAGCTTATGAGAATTTAATAGATGTTAATATTAGTAGTTAATTTTAATATTTTCATTTCAGTATTAAACAGATTAAGTAGTATAAAAATAAGACCAAAAATGCTTTGAATATTCAAAAATATTTTAACATTAGATATTTAAATATTTTACATACAATAATGTATTTGAATAAACAATACATTAAAATATATATTGAATATGTAAATATCTAAACTTAATTGTAAACAAATACAATTTTGCTCTTTACAGAGTTTTACAAATCACCAATGAGCATTTGCAAAAGCTGATCATGTACTAAACTGCACAGAAAATCTCAATACAATGTAAAAATTTAAATGATTATTAGACATGTTATTTAATTGCAGTACACTGAATTAGAAATTACCTATTAAAAGGTGACAAAAGTGCCCTAACTTCTTAAAAATTACAACAAAAACGAGTTTTTATCATGCCTTTTGAATAAATGAAGAAAACAAATCCAAAATTTGGACAACTTAAAGATAAGATAAATGGAAGCAGTGCATGTCAGAATCTATAGGATACAGCAAAAACCATCCTGGCAGAAAAATCCATAGTCTTCAGGAATTTGTGATCAAACAAGAAAGATGGAAGATTAGTTAAAATTTAATTCGAGAAGTTTTAACAACAAAAGACCAAAATAAAATTAAAAAATAAATTAATGAAGAATTAGAAAATAACAAAATTTAAAATTTGATAAAGTCATAAGAGTGGTTTTAGAGGGCCGGGCTCAATGGCTCACGCCTGTAATCCCAGCACTTTGGGAGGCCGAGGCGGGTGGATCACAAGGTCAAGAGATCGAGACCATCCTGGTCAACATGGTGAAACCCCATCTCTACTAAAAATACAAAAAATTAGCTGGGCATGGTGGCGCGTGCCTGTAATCCCAGCTACTCAGGAGGCTGAGGCAGAATTGCCTGAACCCAGGAGGCGGAGGTTGCAGTGAGCTGAGATTGCGCCATTACACTCCAGCCTGGGTAACAAGAGCGAAAATCCATCTCAAACAAACAAACAAACAAACAAACAGAGTGGTTTCAGAAAATATCAACAAGAGAGACAAACTGCTGATAAACCTGGCCAAGAAAACACTTTAAAAGATACCTGGGCTGGGCACAGTGGTTCACACCTATTATCCCAGCATTTTGGGAAGCTGAAGTGGGTGGATCACCTGCAGTTGGGAGTTTGAGACCAGTCTGACCAACATAGTGAAACCCTGTCTCTACTAGGAATACAAAATTATCCAGGTGTGGTGGTGCATGCCTGTAATCCCAGCTATTTGGGAGGCTGAGGCAGGAGAATCACTTGAACCCAGGAGGTGGACGTTGCAGTGAGCCAAGATCGTGGTATTGCACTCCAGCCTGGACAAGAGCAAAACCCATCTCAAAAAAAAAAAAGAAAGAAAGATACCTGCATATAATATTAAAAATGAGAAAGGATAGATTGATAAATTTGTCAAAGATTTACTTCCAGATAGTGTTACAGGCGGATACGCTCAAACCTTAAAGGATCTAGTCATTCCTGTGTTATTAAACTATGTCAGTATAAGAAAAGATGGACACTTGCCAATTCAATTTTTTAGGTGATCAGAATCCAGATTTCAAACCCAATAAAAATAAGCAAAATGTGTAGGCCCAATACATCATCAATATAGATATTAAGGTCCTAAAGAAAATATCAGCAACTTAATCCATCTGTTCATTAAAAGAATAAAGTCATGATCAAGCAACTTTTCTTTTGAGAATTAAAGAATAGTTCAAAATTAAGAATGGTGTAACTATGTAATTTTCATAGATGCCTGTGGGAGGCAACCTCTAAGATGGGCCCCAATGATCTCTGCCTCCTAGTATTCACAGCCTTGTGGAGTCTTCTACTCTTGAGTAATTTTCTTTTCACCAATGGAATTCAGCAACACTGAGGAGATAGTATTTCCATGATTAAATGACAAAAGATTTAGACTTCCATCTTCTCAGCAGACTCTCTGTTTTGCTGGCTGTGATGAAGCAAGATGCTGCATCAGGAAGGTCCATTAGGCAAGGACCTAAAGGTAGCCTCTGATCAAGAGCCAGTTAGGAACTGAGACCATCAGTTCAACAGCCCAAAGGGAACTGAATCGTCCAACAACTACATGAGAAAGCTTAGAAGCAGATCTTCCCCAGATGATCATTCCCATGTCACCCCATCCTGGCCAACACCTTGATTGCAGCCTCCTAAGAGATCTCAAAGCAGAGAGTCCAGCTAAGCCAGACTCAGGCTTCTGACCCACAGAAACTGTGAGATAATAAGTGTGTGTGAAGTTGCTATGTTGGCAGCAATTGTTATGTTGTAATAGACAACTCATTCGGATGCCCAACAAGTTTTCGAGAAAACTGACTAGCCATTTACATAAGAAGTCTCCGATTCTATGGGCCTCCTCTTTCCATAAAGGGATTTCTAACAGTAATGTTTCTGTCCTCTCTCTGGATCTTCCTCCCAGGGAGTGTCTGGTGAGTACTGGAGAATACACGGCTCTGTCCCTTGTCAGCTCTCCATTTTAGATGTGCTCACCTGCAGACAGGCTCTCTTCTGGAATGCTCTCCTCCGTGTGGTATTAATTTTACCAGGGCATTCATGGCTTTATGGAGGAGGCTTACCATTTTGCCCTTTCATCTAGGTGGGTTTATTTCTAGGATGAAAAATGAGAAAGCCACCTGAGTCCACACATCTGTGCCATGTTCTTCAATTAGTCTTGCCATTTAAGCTGGTGTTTTGATCTGTGTCTGTCTGGTTCTTGTGTTCAGAATTGGTTCTAAACTCAAGGTGGGAAAAAGTTACTCATTAGTGCCCTAAAACTCGACCTAATCTTAATTAAATTCTTAGGAGTCGAAGGAAGTTCCTTTAATATGGCAAAAGTATATAAAGAAATCAGTAGCCACCATCATATGCCATGATTAATTAATAACAGAATTTCTATAAAAATCAGAGACAAGGTAAGAATGCTCCATTACTATTGGCATCCAAACTTGCTAATAAGAGAGAAAATGGAATTAATATATACAAAAGTTGGAAAGAAAGAGATAAGCATGATTATTCTGATAATATAGTCTCATACATGGAAAATTTTTTTAAAAATCAGCTGAAAAATATTGAAACCAATAAGTATGGTCAGTAGACTACAGAGAAAAAAATATGTACAAAAGCCTGTTGCTATTCTTTTTGAGATGGAATTTCGCTTTTGTTTCCCAGGCTGGAGTGCAATGGCACGATCTCGGCTCACCGCAACCTCCGCATCCTGGGTTCAGGCGATTCTCCTGCCTCAGCCTCCCGAGTAGCTGGGATTACAGACACACGCCACCATGCCCAGCTAATTTTTTGTATTTTTGGTAGAGACGGGGTTTCACCATGTTGACCAGGATGGTCTCGATCTCTTGAACTCGTGATCCACCCACCTCGGCCTCCCAAAGTGCTGGGATTACAGGCATGAGCCACCGCGCCCGGCGCCTGTTGCTATTCTTTACACAGCAATTCTTTGTTAGAAAATATGATGGGAAAAAGGTCCATTCACAATAGCAGCAAAATGATAAAATACTCAGACATATCTAAAAAGAAATGTGAAAAAACTGTTTGAAGAAATACATAAAACTTCTCGGAAGGAAATAAAGAGAAGAAAGATCTAAAGAAATGGAGAGACAACTAGCAGAGTGTAGTGACTTAACCTATTCTGTTTGGACAATGTGTACTGAATTTCTCATGAGTTAAACAGGAAATCCTCATGAGTTAAAAAGGAAAGCGAATAACAGCACTACAGGGTTCTTTAGGAGATGATCAGAAAATATCATTTACATGGTGTCCAAGCTCCATATTAAACAAGTTTTTGAATATTCAGTGCCATCCAACAACTTTATATCGTTCTGTGATTTGGACAAGGTGCACGGCACACCTGGCTGCTCGGCAATGTTTTCAGTCTTGGACAATCCTTCCTCAACCCTAAATGGTAGAAGAGGCTCATCATCATGGAGACCCTAGCACACAGCAAAATGATCTACTTGTACATTTTCTTCTGCTGAATTACATGTGCAGCGACAGAGGGTTAGCAAAGTTCAGCAAGCAGCATTTTACACAAAGCTAGAGCGGCTTTCTCATGGAGTCAGAAAGCTGATTAAGCATCTCTCCTCTGATCTGCACACTTACATGAATCAACCGCAGCTTTGAACAGCACCAAATGGCTCTGTAGAGCCTGTTCCTGTAACAACGTGAGAGTCTAGAAAGATGAAAACAACATACTGTTTCTCATTTTGTGGTTCTTTTGTCCTCAAGACCACAATCTCTACTTAATAAATTATCTTTTTTGGGGGGTGGAGGGTGGTGAGCAGGCTCTTATTCTGTCACTCAGGCTGGAATACAATGGTGGGATCACAGTTCACTGCAACCTCCAACTCCTGGGCTAAAACAATCCTCCCACCTCAGCCTCCCAAGTAGCTGGAACTACAGATATGCACCACCTTACCTGGATGATTTTAAATTTTTTTATAGAAATGGGGTCTCGGCCGGGCGTGTTGGCTCACGCCTATAATCCCAGCACTTTGGGAGGCCGAGGTGGGTGGATCACGAGGTCAAGAGATTGAGACCGTCCTGGTCAACATGGTGAAATCCCATCTCTACTAAAAGTACAAAGCATTAGCTGGGCATGGTGGTGTGTGCCTGTAGTCCCAGCTACTCAGGCAGCTAAGGCAGAAGAATTGCTTGAACCCAGGAGGTGGAGGTTGCAGTGAGCCAAGATCGTGCCATTGCACTCCAGCCTGGGTAACAACAGCGAAACTCCGTCTCAAAAAAAAAAAAAAGGAAAGAAAAAAGAAATGGGGTCTCGCTGTGTTGCCCAGACTGGTCTCAAACTCCTGGGACCAAGCCTCCTGGGCTCACGTGATCTTCCTACCTTGGCATCTCAAAGCCCTGGGGTCTATAACCACTGCTGTTATTTCCATTAGTGAGGATAAAGGTAATATGGGTAACAGTTTATTACACACAATATTCTGTCTCTCTCAATCAGTCATGGAGTAAATTATACTGGCTTTCTTGTGTGTGTCAGATTGGTCTGAAACAGACAGGGTGGCCTCAATGGGCTAGTAGGGATCTCCCTGTGGCAGTCCTAGTCCCCTGGGCTCCAAGACAGCCAATTCCAGAAGCAGGAAACATGGGGTTCATCATAGTACGCTTTTGAAATCTTTCTTGTATGTTCCCTTTATTTTTCTTTTATCTCATTCCAACTTCCCCTCCTTTCTAAAATTCTCTTGCTGAACCATATTGTAAATTGGGGTAAAATTGTCATAGCCCAAAGGCGGCTATGGGCTATACTGTAAGTTTACCAAAGGTGGGACTGTGTTTTATTCATTTTTGAATCCTCAAAACCTAGAACACAATACATGCACTCTATAATGTTGAATAAGGTAACATAATTTTGAACTTGAAGCAAATGAATTTCTTTGAGAGTACTGACAAGTATACATAAATCATGTGGACTTCTGATGTATGCTGGACTCAATTTTAAGCAAAGTTGAGAGCTTTGAGTCAGATACAAACAAGAGTAGAAAATAAATAGTAGAATTAGCTACATACAGAGGGAAGTTTTACGATCTCTTTCCCTATAACAAGTAAAAGACAATGGCTATTTTTGAGTGTTTCTGTTTTTTTACTGTCCTGAGGTAGGACACAGACCAGTTCATCCTGTAAAGTTCTTCCAGATTCCTGTAAGAAAGATTGAATGAGGCAAGATGCATTGCAACTGGTCGCTCAGTCTTTGTAGCATCTTTTTTCTGTCTGAGAGCATGGCCTACACTCATGAGCCTGGCTCTGCTGCTCTCCTTCCCTTGGGAAAGGCCTTGACTGCAGAAAGCAGAGATGGAAGGTCTATTACTTACATCAAATCCATTTTTTTTTGCCAGTGACTCTGCCTTCCTTTGTGCCCATGTCTGATGACTGGCATTTACCATTTTTTTCTTTCTCTAAATCATTATCTTTCAAAATCCAGGGTTCTGCAGATTCTTGAGAAATAGGACTCTGTATTTCTCTTAGCAGCTCATAGGTGTATTGAACTCCATCCTCTCCTTGATTCAAGGATTGGTCTATGCTATCTCCTGTATCGCTTATTTAATGTCAATTGCCTACTTGGAACCAGAGAATTGCCTCCATGTCAATCACAGACAGCCCTAGTACCGACATGCTGCTTGCCTGGGTTCGGCCTTGGCCTGGCATTTTGCCTTCTCTCTATCACACGTGTTTGTTTTCCCACACCTGTAGCTATTCCTCTCTGTTTCTCAGGGTCAAGTGCAGGTTGATTGTGGCCCATTCAAAACTACTCCTATGACCATGGTTCATTGGACTATACTTAACCATGTCCTCAGATGCAGCTGCAGTGAACAAATTAAGGAAACATGACATCAGCAAATTAAAAAAAAAAATCCCAACTGAGAAAATTCACTATCTACAAAGAAAAAGATGATGTGTCTTCTTTGGCATTCACAGCAAGCTCTTACCATCTGCCACCATCTTTAACACCATTGAAATCTTCTCCATTTCTTGATCAAAATCTATTCCTCTTTCATTGTAGGTCTTCCAAAGACAGCTCAGCCTATAAAAATATAAGCAAATTTTAAAATTTATTTTTATTTTTTATTTTTAAATTTTTTTGAGAAAGAGTCTTGCTCTGTTAGCCAGGTTGAAGTGCAGTGGTGTGATATTGGGTCAATGCAAAACCTCCACCTCCTGGGTTCAAGTGATTCTCCTGCCTCAGCCTCCCAAGTAACTGGGATTACAGGCACACACCACCACACCTGGCTAATTTTTTTATTTGTAGTAGAGACAGGGTTTCACCTTTCTGGTCACAAACTCCTGACCTCATGTGATCTGCCTGCCTTGGGCTCCCAAAGTGCTGGGATTACAGGCATGAGCCACTGTACCCAGCATATAAGCAATTTAAAACATGTAAAAGATGCCATTAGTTTTGGTGAGGCAGAGGGAGATCAATGGCTCAGGCTGGCCTCTGTGGTGGGGACATCTCAAAGTAAGATTAATTGTTTCTAAGATGGATGAAGCTGGCTCTGTTTGCCTGTACATCATGATTGTTCATACCCCTTCAGCATTAGCAAACAACAAACTCTAGTTACTGTAGGCAGAAAGGGAACTTGCTGGTAGAATATGGAGTAGCTCAGATAATTAACAGGGAGGACAGAGAAGAGACAAATACCAAGGAAAGCTGGCTGGCTGGCACAGGAAAGGGCACCCACACAGTGGATATAGGCTGGTTAGGGTGGCTGCCACCACTACTGCTGCCTGGGTACCTCTGGCCCCTGAATGCTGCTGGTGGTGCCACTAGGATGGGTTCTAAAGAGTCTCTTTTCCTAGGACTCCTGGTTCCAGACTCAAAGTTCTAGGCAAGAGTGATTTCCTGACCATATTTTGGTGGCAACCCATATCCTATCTGCTTTCTATGAAGGCTCACACAAAAGTGGAACTTAAGAAGGGAGTTCAGATGCTGAGCAGCCAAAAGTATGACAAGTGCTTGTTTCTCTTTTAACAACTTGCCCAAGAATACACTTTACTGATTACTTTGCATGAGTGGGATAGACTTACTCTCCTAAGGCAAGGAGCCAAGCTCTAAGGCTTGATCCCTGAGAGACTAACAAGGCAGATTCTTACAGTCCTTGGAAGACACCAGAGGAAGCAGAAACTCTCTATGAGAAAAAGGTTGAGATCTTGTAGGCTGTAAACCCGACTGTATTAGTTTGTTCTTATGCTGCTAATAAAGACATACCCAAGACTGGTAATTTTTCGTTTTCATTTTTGTTTTGAGACAGAGTCTCGCTCTGTCACCAGGCTGGAGTACAGTGGTGTGATCTTGGCTCACTGCAACCTACACCTCCCAGGTTCAAGTGATTCTCCTGCCTCAGCCCCCCAAGTAGCTGGGGTCACAGGCACACGACACCACACCCAACTAATTTTTGTATTTTTAGTAGACATGGGGTTTCAACTTATTGGTCAGGATGGTCTCAATCTCTTGACCTTGTGATCTGCCCACCTTGGCCTCCCAAAGTACCAGGATTATGGGTGTGAGCCACTGCGCCTGGCCAAGACTGGGTAATTTATAAAGGAAAAGGTTTAATGGACTCACAGTTCCACATGAGTGGGGAGACCTCACAAATTCATGGTGGAAGGCAGAGGAGGGGCAAAGTCACATCTTACATGGTGGTAGGCAAGAGAGCTTGTGCAGAAGAACTCCCATTTATAAAACCATCAGATCTCATGAGACTTATTCACTCCCAAGAGAACAGTATGGAGGAAAGTGCTCCCCATGATTCAGTTATCTCCATCTGGCCCCACCCTTGACAAATGGGGATTATTACATTTCAAGGTGAGATTTGGGTGGGGACATAGAGCCAAACCATATCACCAACTCTGCCATATAATTCCTTAGACAAGTCCCTTAATATCTCCTGGCCTCCATATTCTCACTTGTGAAATAAGGAGAATTAAATGAGGCAATCCATTTACAGTTCCTAATATGGAGCCCGGCACATACCAAGTATTCAGTCAATGCACCACTATTATTATGACTGGTGTGATTTTAATTTTGATTGCCTGAGTCCCTTTCTCTGGGTCCTGTCAACCACTCCCTCTCCTTACAATGGTCTGTTTACCTTGAACTTCCAGGTGGAGGGTCAGGCTCAGGGCCTGCTTCGTCCCCCCTTGAGGGGCTTCAGAATGTTGGCTCCTTTGCAGAGAAGAGGGATGCTGTGAAGAGACAGAGTGTCATTGAGTGAACAAGTTTAAATAGAATCTTTCCATGAAAACTCTGGGATAATTTCTGGCTTGTGGTCAGAAAATGGTCAGTTATTGAATGGAGGGGTAAAGGCATTTTCTCTTTTCCCCTTCTTCTGAAACCCATCCAAAACATAAAAAAAAAATAGACACAAAAACTCCATCTTAAATTTAAAACAGAGAAAAAAAAGAAAACTCACACAATCTCAAGACCGCCTAGACCAAGTGGAAGTCATTGCTCATGGAATTCGTAACATTGCTAATTATCAATACAATGACATTAATGTAATTAAATATTTATTTTATATTAATACCAATATTAATATCAATTTTTTTCAAAACCACTTTGTTGAGACATGATCGACATATAAAAATCTGTATATATGTAATGTATGTAAAGTTCTAAATTTTTTTTAAAAGAAAGTGGCAGATACAAGACAAAGTTATGGATGCTGAAAACAGCTGTCTAATTCCAGATTCTGCATAAATCAGCTGGCCCCAGAGCCTCTCCTTGTATTTAAAAAAAAAAAAAATGCCTTTTGGCATACGTAAGACTCAAGGTGGGAAATTGTTCATAAAATGTACTGGAATCATCCTTCTCCAGCTTATCCGAACTGTACCTTCTTCTCAATTTCAGGGTTTGAGGACTTATTAGGTTTCATTAACTTTTTAACCCACACAAGGAAGCTGCTTCTCTCTTTACAAGGATCAGAAAGGTAGTGGAACAGAGTTGGAGGTGGTAATTCACTGCAGCAGGGGGCCTCCTGTGTGGATGTATTTGGTATAGAATGAGTTTAAGTGGGGGAATTAATATCTCACAGCACGACAGATGTCTTAAAAGCCATGAAGATGCAATGAGCAGTCCTCTGGCTGCCTTGACTCCTTCCAGGGCAGCAGAAGAGCATCTGGGGCTATCAGCATACTGGTTTGCTAGCTTTCTTTTGCTTTTGGGAGTACTACATCTGTTGCCCAATTAACTTGACAGAACAACTAACACGCTAACTTCGTTGTTCTGAGAGGTTTCCTATGGGATGCATTTTTAGCCAAGGCCACCTCACAAGGGGAATGGTTGTTGGTTCTTTCAGCAGACTGATGGGGTGGGTATGTACACCGTCAAAGACTGCCGCAGTTTACTAAGGCTCTCAAGAGTGTTTCTGACACTCGTCTAACCAGAAGACTGTACCTCAGTATGGCCATGGGACAGGAGAATGAAGTGGTAAAGATGGAGGAACCTGCCTCACACTCACACTGATGGACTCAGTGTTTGCCTTCTCCTAGATGGATGGCCCCATGAGCTCAAAGTCCAGGACTATCTCAGTGGCAACATACCACACTACCTCACAGGAGGCACTATGCATTTAATTTTGTCCCCCCAAATTTATACATTGAAGTCCTAACCTGGGCTGGGTGTGGTGGCTCATTCCTGTAGTCCCAGGACTTTGGGAGGGTGAGGCAGGTGGATCACTTGAGCCCAGGAGTTCAAGGCCAGCCTGGGCAACATGGTGAAACCCTGTCTCTAGAAAAAAAATAGAAAAACTAGCTGGGCGTGGTGGTGCACCCCTGTGATTCCAGTTGTTTGGGAGGCTGAGGCAGGAGGGGCACTTGAGCCCAGGAGGTGGAGGTGGCTGTGAGCTGAGATTGTGCCACTGCACTCCAGCCTGAGCAGCCTGGGTGACACTGTTTTTTGGGAGTGAGATCCCCATCTTAAAAAAAGATAAAAGGAAGTCCTAACCCCCGTGAATGTGACCTTATTTTGAAAGAGGACCATTGCAGATAGAATTAGTTAAGATGAAGTCACACCAGAGTAGGATGGAACCGTAATAGAAGTTGTGTCCTTATAAATAGGGAAAACTTGGACACACATGCACAGAAAGAAGAAAAACACTGTATGAAGACTGGAGTCATGCTGCTACAAGCCAAGAAACTAGTAGAAGCAAGTAGAGAGGCCCAGAACAGGTTCATCCCTGCTGCCTTCAGAGAGAGTATGGCTCTGCCAACACCTTCATCTACGACTTTCACCTTCAGAACTGTGAGACAATACATTTCTGTTGTGTAGGTCACCTAGTGTGTGGTACTTCATTATGGCAACTCAGCAAACCAATACAAAGGGCTTGGCATGGGGAATGATGAACAATTTCATTGTTTCAATGAAAATCTAAAGAATTGTCTTGTCCCTTACTAAGCTGTGAGATGTCATTGAATGAATTTTGCTCCGCAGCATAAGATGAAAGAAATGTCTCACTTATTTCCTTAGTCAGATTTATTCTGCTCCCTGTGCAACTGGTTTGGCAGGAACTTTAATGTTGTGATGTTTCTGCCTCTGCCCTCGAATCCCTGGGTTTGGGGAAGGTCTCTGGAATCTCACACCATCTAAAACCTTTGGAGACGGATTCTTTGGAGAGGGCCATGGAGAACAGAGCCTGCACCCACCTGGGCTTCTCATCAAGGCTGGCATCTTTGGCCTCTTCAAGGACACCTCAGAAGCATGCTCTTGTGAGGTCTGGCATCCCTCATGGTTAAGAAAGGTTTAGCTAAATCTTGCAATTCTTGGGACCTCCCCCACCGAAAAATCCTGTTCCTTTTCTAAGCTTGAGGGATAAAATCTTTCTCCTCTGTTGCTATAGCATTTCCCCTTTTCTCTCTCCAGGTACTCACATCTCTTTCTCCCTCTCCAGAGACATTGCTAACTTAGGCTTTGCAAAATCAAAACTAGAAAACTCTGTCTTTGTCTCGGCAACACAATCTCTTCTGAGGCTAAGAATGCAATAGTTGGATACTATCTTCCCTGGGGAAGGCAAAATTCAGTATGAACTAAACACAAATGAACATCAGTGGTACATGGTGTTGTTGTTCCCAATTATTCACTCCCCCTTTCTTCAAAGATTAGACACCCCCACCCCCACCCCCACATTGCTACGTGACTTGCTGTGCTCTCCCGTGGGAGAAACATCTATTCCCTGCCCCAGCTGATGTTGAACTTAGCCCTGCAACTTGCTTTGTTGATGGGATATGAGCAGATGCAACGTGATGCCCTGTCTGAGCAGAAGCTTTAAAAGCCACCGTGTTTCTACTAGTTCCCCCACTTTTTTCCTCTGCCATGAGAATATTATGTCCAAATACAGCCTGCTCCTTCAGCCTGGACTCCAGAAGAGGACATGTAGAACAGACCCACAGCCGACTTGCTTTTGTGCAGACCTGCTGTCTACAGCCAATCCACAGCTGACATGTAACACACACGAGAAACAAATCTTTGTTACTGTAAGCTACTGAGATCTGGGGTCTAGCATTGTTTGTAATCATAGTATAATCTAGTAAGAGCTTACTAGTAAAATGTCTAAATTATTATTTTTTCACTTAGAAAGGTCACTTCCCTTCTCTGAAGCTCATTTTTATTGCATGTGAAGTTGGCTTGGTTGGGCCATGTGGTACCTTAAGTCCTTTTCAGTTTGATTCTTCTAGGATTCTAAATCCATGTGCCCAGTTTCCTGCTTTATCCTGGACCCACAGTATTCACTGTGAAGGTGTCTGTGAATCTCCTGCCCTTTCCTCCCCCTTATAACCTTTTATTCTAACCCAAGTATCTATGACAAAACAGGGGGCCAATCATAGAGCAGAAAGAACAATGGCTTAGGATGCCTGCAGACTGAGTTCTGATTCTGGAAGCCAATTACTATTGTTTGGCCATTGGCAATTTTATCTATCTCCCTGAGCTGCTGTTTCTTATTTGTAAAACAGGGATGCTGGGATTGTAAGGATGAAATAAGCTAATACAAGTTTTGAATACAGGACTTCTCACATACTGTGTATTTAACAAAAGTTAATTGCCTTCTTTTTTCCAAATGTATTTTTAAATGTAATTTTTAAAAAACTTTTAGGCTCAGACATACCCGTGCAGGTTTGTTATATAGGTAAAGTAGTGTCATGAGTGTTTGTTGTACAGATTATTTCATCACCCGGGTACTAAGCCTCGCATCCAAGAGTTACTTTTTCTGACTGACTCCCTCCTCCCACCCTCCACCCTCAAGTAGGCCCCAGTGTGTGTTGTTCCCCTCTTTGTGTCCATGTGTTCTCATCATTTAGTTCCTGCTTATAAGTGAGAACACAAAATATTTGGTTTTCTGTTCCTGCATTAGTTTGCTAAGCATAATGGCATCCAACTGTAACCACGTTCCCACAAAGGACACAATCTCGTTCTTTCTTATGGCTGCATAGTATTCCATGGTGTACATGTACCTCATTTTCTTCATCCAGTCTATCATTGATGGGCAGTTAGATTGATTCCATGTCTTTGTTATTGTGAATAGTGCTGCAGCGAACATATGCATGTCTGTATCTTTATGGTAGAAAGATTTATATTCCTTTAGGTGCATACCAGTAATGGGATTGCTAGGTCAAATAGTATTTCTGTTTTTGGCTTTTTGAAGAATTACCATATTGCTCTCCACAATGAGTGAACTAATTTACACTCCCACCAACAGTGCATAAGCATCTTCTTTTCTCTGCAACCTCGCCAGCATCTGTTGTTTTCATAATAGCCATTCTGACTAGTGTGAGATGGTATCTCGCTGTGGTTTTGGTCTGCATTTCTATAATGGTCAGTAATGCTGAGCTTTTTTTCATATGCTTCTTGGCCACATGTATGTCTTCTGAAAAGTATCTCTTCATGTCCTTCTAAATGTCTTTGAGAGTTTCTTTATCCAAGAGGATTTGCAACTTCACGGGAACCAGTATCATAAGATAAAAGGAGCTTTCTGGTATCAGTGGCAGATAAGGAAGAGAATGCAGGAATTCCTGAGTCCTGTAAATTAAAGCCATGGAGAGTTGCCTCTGTGTCCTGGATGGAAGGCTGTTTGGTCTTGCGTAGTGGTGCTTAGGAGTAGGGATTAGGCTTCTTCTCAGAAAACTGCATCTTATTGACTTTTCAAATTATCCCCTGGATTCAGATTTTCATTTCTAACAGAAAGATATTATCCTGGTTGCCACACTGCTTTGTCCCACCCAGCTCACCTCTCACTTTGCTCCAAATAGATGTAGTATTTTCTTTGTTCATCAAAGCCACATCCAGATTCTGGGGCTTCCGCACCTTTTTCATAGCTTAAGCAACATCAGTACATCAATTGCTGCTCTCTAGGTCATAGAGGCATGTAACTGGAATCTTCAAATGCAACTTCTAGGTTCTGAGAAGGTTCCTCCAGTGACAATGCCAGTTCCGATGGCTAAAGCAAAAGTGGACTGAGACCTGAATATTTGGGCCAGTAAAAGAAAGAAGTGATGAAGGATGTTCTGTTTTACTTCACCAGTTTCAATTTTGTTGCAGAGGCAGTGAAGGGCTGTCTGAAGAGAGAACATTTGAAGCAAGCCCTAATGACATGGAGCAGCCGTGTGAATGTCTAGGGGGAGACTAATCCAGACAGAAGGAAAGAGCAAAGGCCTGAGCTGGGCACAGTCTTGGTGTGTTTGAGGGATAAAAAGTGGACCAGAGTGGCTCTAGGGGAGAGAATAAGCGGTGCGTGCTAGGAGGTTTGGGTGGAGAGGCAAGAGCAGTGGTGAGATCAGGGAGAGGCCATGGAAGAATGGGAAGCCCCTGAAGGTCATTTAGCAGCAAGTCATGGGGTCTCAGAGTAATCTCTGAGAAATTGAGCTATTGTCATAAATGAGAATAAATGGGGGTAGGGGAGCAGGACCCCAAGTGAATCTTGTGGTTCCAGATAAGAGATGATGGCAGCCTGGACCAGGATTTTAACAGTGAAAGTGGTGAGCAGTGACTGTCCTGATTCAGAGTGTATTTCAGAGCGGAACCAAAGAATGGGCTGATAGGTTGGGTAAAAGATATAAAAGAGAGGATCAATGCCGGACTTCTAGATTTTTATATTTAGACAGCTGGCAGATAGAAATGCCATTTGCTGAAATGGAGAAGAGTGAGGCAGAAAAAAATTTTGGCAGGAGAACTTCAAAAATTTCAGTTGGGACACATTATAGTTGAGTTATATATGCGTGTAGACTAGAGGTAGTCAAACTTTTTCTGTCAGGGTCATAGAGTCCCGTTATACACTCTTCTTTGATTTTTTTCCCTATCCTTTAAAAGTACAAAGACCTTTCTTAGCTCTTGGGCCATAAAGAAACAGACACCAGGCCACAGTGGAGCTGTAGTTTGTCAAACACCAATTTGGAGCTTGGTGGAGAAAGCAGGGATTGAGACATTTGGGCACAGAGGCTGACTTTAAAATCCCAGGACTGGATGAGCTCATGCAGGGAGAGAGATGAGCTAGTGGAAGGTATGACCACCTTAAAAACTCAGACAGGAAGAATGAGCTCAGTAAAGAATACTGAAGTTAGAGGAAAGGGAGTGTGCATTATTCAGATTTTATTATACACAGCAACAAACAGTCCCTGTAACTCAGTACCTTCTGAGAAAAAAGGTATATTTCTCACTCGAGTTACATGGTGGCTGCAGTCCTACTGTGAGTCTATTTCACATCTCCTTTCCAGACCCAGACTGAAAGAGACATGCCCATCAGAACAGTCTGCAGGGGAGGCAAAAGAGAGATGGCAGAACCAGGCAAGGACCCTAAAATACTCTCCTGGGACACAGCATATGTCACTTGCATTCACTTTTCATGATCCAGCTTGTGGTTGAGGGGAGGGGCAATTCTCTCACAGGGATAATCCGTGAATCTCTGGGAACAAGAATATAACGATCACAAAGAGTGTGGTATTCAGGAAGTCTAGAGCACCTAATAATTCAAGAAATGGGATGTGGTTCGCTAGATCAAATGCTATTTAGAAGTTGAGTAAGATGAGGTCAGAGCAGTGATGATTGGGTTTGAATTATAGAGATCTTTTGTTTCATCAAGTAAGTCATTCTTCTAGACTAGCTGTATTACTGTGTACTTTCTGTGCTGGATGCCCATAGCAGCAATACTGTCAGCCTGCCTCTATAAGAACAATTTCACTATTTCTGTACTCTCAAAATGGAGCTGATTCAAGATTGGTGACTTGTGGGCCCAATAATCCAATATATTTAGCAACAAATTTAGAAGGAAACCTGATTTTTAATTTTCCCAGTTGTAATTATATGCATTCTTGGAAAGGAATCTGTGGCTACACAAACAGCAATGATTATACCTTCTGACTCAATTAATTTAAGGGGTTTTCCAAAGAAGCATTGAATAGTAAGTTTGCACTTTGAGGAAGATTCTCTACACTCCTTTTTTTCCTACTAGTCAGATTTTCTGGGCCAACCCTCACAGTTCCCCCAGATTTACCTCTTTCTTTGAGAGGAATGTGTGCACAAGTTTGCAAAGTCGGGTGTGGGGACTGTGCTGGTGGAGCAATAGCAGTGGTGTTGAGCGGAAATGCAGATTCCCGGGTGTTTTCTCCTCTGCCTGCCTAAGGACAGCCGCAGGAGTCATTCTGATATTTGGCAAGGTACCTGAAAAACCTGAAATTTCTCCCGTGATCTATATCTACTTTGACATTTTAAAAGAATTGTTCTTTTAAAATATAAATCCTAACCCTTTGATTCTTTGTTTTTAGTTTAGAATATTGAAGTTGGTAAGTTGGGTTTTTCTAAATTTTTTTTCATTTTTTGAGACAGGGTCTTGCTCTGTTGCCCAGGCTGAGTGTAATGATGTGATCTTGGCTCACTGCAGCCTCAACTTTCTGGGCTCAAGCACCCCTCCCGCCTCTGTCTCCTAAGTAGCTGGGACTACCGGTGTGTACCGCCATGTCTAGCTAATTTTTATCTTTTTTGCAGAGATGGCTTTTCACCATATTGCCCAAACTGGTCTCTAACTCCTGGGCTCAAGCAATCTGCCTGTCTTGGCCTCCCAAAGTGATAGGATCACAGGCACGAGCCACCATATCCAGCTGGGAATATCTTAAAGGTATTTGGGTTTAACTATTTTTTTTTTAAATGAGAATCTCTACAACCCTGACCAGCTTAGCCCTTTTCTGCATGTATCTGGAGAGAAGGGCGCTCATTGTCTCACTACCCAAGGGACAAAACCAACCTTTAACTGATGGGACTCTCTAATTTTGAGGAAGTTCTTTCTGATGTTTAATTAAAACTTGCTTTCTTGCAACTTCCACTATTAATCCATGCTGGGGATAATACAGTTGTGGCATAATAAGAAATATATCTAGTGTTTGTCTCTGGTTCCTAGCACAGAGGTTCTAAAACCAAACCAAAACAAAAACCCTGGGTACTTCTTCCTGAGAGATAGGAGTGTCTTTTCTTATTTGTAATGAGAGCCCCTTTCTATCAAATCTGAGTTCAAGCTAATGAGATGAACCCCCAGAGTGGAACCCCTAGATAGCTTCAGGATGGGGTTAGTCAAACATAACGCCATTATTTGAGGGTTAGAAATTTCAGCTCTTGTCCCCAACCTATGGGGAGGGAAGAGGCAGTGGAGATTGAATTCAATCACCAATGGTCAATGAGTTAATCCATCAAGCCTATGTAATGAAACCTTGGTAAAATCTAAATGGGAGCTTCCGTGTTGGTAAACACATCCACATGCCAGGAGAGAGGCACGCCTCAGCTCCAAAGAGGCAGAGGCTCTCACGCTCAGGGCATTGTTGGACTTCACCTAATGCACCTCTTCATCTGGCTGTTCATTCTCAATAAACTATAGTTCTAA